ATATATATATATATATATATATATATATATGTGTGTGTGTGTGTGTATAGGCACAGTGTTCAGCATGAATGAGCACACGCCCTTTTGAAAATGAATATTTGTATTAATTTCTCAGAGAATATAATTTGGGGCATTTAAACAAAACAGTTTTATTTATTGATTTATTTATTTGGTTGATCAGTTCCAGGTTGGTCTTTGGTACTGACTCGTGTATAAGCATATATATGTCTAATGTATCTGCACACATATATTATTGTGAAGCAGTAGAACATATTGATGTAAAAGAGAGACCTGTGATGGGGTGAACTCAATCATGCTGAGCACTGTATGCGCTTATGCTTGTGTAGGAGTAACTGTGTGTGTGTGTGTGTGTGTGTGTGTGTGTGTGTGTGTGTGTGTGTGTGTGTCAGAGCGAGGTCTCGTTGGTGTGTGGTCTGCAGGTCTCCTCCTCCAGCAGTGTGATCCTCTGCTTCAGCATGCGCACCTGAGTGTCGTGTCGCTCCACCATCGCCATCATCTGACACTCCAGCTTCTTCAGCTTATTCTGGTGCTTCTTCTTGGCTTTCTCATACGCCGCCACCAGGTTACTGCAACACACACACCAATTTTATATAGCACTATACATATATATACTAGCGCTGTCAAATTAACGCGTAACGCATGCGATTAATTTTAAATAATTAACACGTAAAAAAAAATTAACGCAGTTGCAGGTTTTTTTTACTTCCTGTTGTGGTGGACGTGTGTTCAACATGCAAGAAATGTGGATAAGACCAAGGAAGCACTTTTTGAAGGCAAGTTTCAGTATAAAACAATTAGTCGCATCAACCGGCTCTCCAGAGTTTTATGCAGTTTCGGGTGTTTCATTTTTAACTTTCGACTTCTGTTGTAAGTTGATACCGCATGGCGAACAGAAAGAAAATCCTCCGCATTTCGTGACTCGGTGTTCCTTTAAGGTAATAAACCACTGCTTAGGCTACACGGTAGAATTTTAATCAGAGGATAACCTTAATCATATTAAAATCGGAGTATTGGTGTCTTATGTAAATGTACTCAGCAGGCCCGGATTGGCCCGGATTGATCTATCTATTTTCTTGTAGCCTCGTGAGCAGGATGCAGGTTAATGATGATATAACTGGATAAATCACCATTAAACGTACAGCTGTTGTGGTACAGTGGTTAGTACGTTAGATTATGACGCGGCCAACCTGGGTTCGGTCCTTGTCTGAGTAGTAATTATTTTTTTTTTTTCATTTTTATTGTTAAGACATAATACTGTAAGGGATGTTGAACATTTGAAGTTCTAAAAGAGCTGTTTTAACACAAGAAGACGTGATAGTGTTATTAGAAACTGAATTGGAAATAACCTTATTTTAATATAGTCAGTCGTGAACTGAGGTGGGCCGGTCTGAGGCTTGAAACTCCAGGGCTGAAAAAGAGTCCCACTCCGGCCCTGGTACTCAGAACGTCTGGTGAAGTCGCGAGCTGTCAAAGACAGGGCATTACTCTGCCTTTCAGCATGAGCCCTCCAAGTTTAGCGTGTTTCCTCATTAAACGCAATGAAAGTGTATGCTTCGCGTTGTTGTGTCAGAATCCTTGTGAAATACAGTAATACTTTAGGACGCTTAGTTTAAGCAAATTTGATGAACGCGATCATGCGTGTTGAATCTGAGGGGAGTCGCTCCAGTATGGAAGGCCATTGGGGCCAAAACGTCTGCAGCACGCGCGTGTGTGTGTGTGTGTGTGTGTGTGTGTGTGTGTGTGTGTCTGTGTCAGGCCCTTTGAGGGGTGTCAGGGGTGGAGTGAGCGACGTATCTGAGTAGGGGCGAGAGGGATGTGCAATGTATTTAACGACCGGTTTGCGAGAAATGATCATTCATTTGTGGGCATTTAGGAGTCTCTGTGCACTTGCGGGATACTCCTAGTCTTAGCAACTGGATGAATGTAAAGGAGGATTAAGCTAAATTGTTTCTACTCTATAATTAATGTTCTCAACTCACAGCAATAAAACTTTACAATGAGTGCAACAGTTTTTATTCTATAGTTTATTATTATAATTTTTCATTTTCCAGATCTGCAATTCCTGTATTTTGGCATTTTTTGCAGTCCACTCAGAATCCAACATGGAGATCAATGTTTTTTTATTGGCATTGATTGTTTTGAAATTTAAATGTCATTAACATGCCTGTGTTTTAATTTCTGTAATAAATATGGCTGTCAAGCAGGATCTTGATGGTTTATTGTGGGTATGTTGTTTGCATGAAGTAATCTGTGTTACAAGTTAAACACAAATTCTATTAAACAATTAAATTTTGAATTTAAATAGTTTTTGTCTTGCGTTTACATTAATTTTACATTTGAGTAGCCAAAATTACAAGTTTCAGCATTTTAAATGCGATTAATCGTGGTTAATTTTAAAAAAAAGGTGCGATTAATTATTTAATTTTTTTAATCGATTGACAGCACTAATATATACACACACACACACACATATATATATATATATATATATATATATATATAGCCCAAATCAGAAAAAAGCTTTGACACTATGGAAAACACAAATAAAAAAATAAAGTTCATTTCATTTTAGACGATATAGACTCAGACTCTTTGATGTTTTGTCTGGTTAACTTCATTTCACTTATAATACTAATATCCATCCTTTCCTATCAGTCAAAACAGTTGTGACAGGAGCAGTTTATTGCAGTGATCAGGTAAACTGGTGAAGTAATGGTGTGATGTGACACAGGTGATGTCAGCAGGTGATTGTGATTATGATTTGGAACAAAAGCAGCATCCAAGAAAGGTCTAGTCCTTTAGGAGCAAAGATGAGCCGAGGATCGCCAGTTTGCCAACAAATGATTGAAATGTTCAAACACAGAGAGAGGAAGACATTCGGATATTTCAGCTTCAACAGTGCAGAACATCATTAAAAGATTCAAGGAATCTGGAGGAGTTTCAGTGCGCAAAGGACAAGAGCGCAAGCCTCAGCTGAACAGTCTCTGATCCTTCAGGGGGCGCTGCATCAACAATCTTCATTTATCTATTAGCCAGTGTCACCACATGGACTCAGGACTACAGCAGCAAACCTTTGTCAAGTATGTAGTTACATCCACAAATGCCAGTGAAAACTGTACTGTGTTAAAAGGAAGCCCTATGCTAACAGTGTCCAGAAGCGCTGTCAACTTCTCTGGACTCGCAGGCATCTGGGATGGACCATCTCGCATTGGAAATGTGTGGTGTGCTCAGATGAATCAGTATTTCAGGTGTTTTTGGGAGAAATAGACAATGTGTGCTCTGGACCAAAGGAAGAAAAGGATAATCTAGACTGTTACCAGCAACAAGTCCAAAAGCCAGGGTCTGACAGTGTATGGGGTTGTGTCAGTGCCCTTGGCAAGGCAACCTGCACTTCAGTGAGGGCACTATTAATGCTGAAATGCACAGAGATTCTGGAGCACAATAAGTTACCTTTTCTTCCAGAGACGTCCATGTATATTTCAATAAGACAATGATAAACTACATTCTGCTCACATTACAGAGTCCTGCTGCAGAGGAAGAGGATACAGGTACTGGACTGGCCTGCCTGCAGTCCTGACCTGTCTCCAATAGAGAATGTGTGGCGCATTTTGAAGTGCAAAACGTGACAATGAAAACACCGTACTGTTGCCCACCTTAAGACTTGAATGAACAGCTACAGTAATTGATCTGTTGTGGTGATTCTATACCAAGCTAATATTTTCTTATTATAATATTCTGCTTTGTCATGTAAACACTTGTTTGTAGAGCGAGTAGTTTGACCATTCTGTGACGTTTATTATTCCTGGTCATTTCATATACGCAACTGATTTGGAAGTTCTAAAATAATCGCAAAAACGAGCGCACATTGAAGAATACGGTCGAACAGTTGCTATATACAATCATGAATAACAATGAAGATTCTTTAGTCGATCCTCGGCTCAGTTGGCGTTTCTGAGTTTGCATGTTCTCCCTGCATTCGCGTGGGTTTCCTCTGGGTGCTCCGGTTTCCCCCACAGTCCAAACACATGTGGTACAGGTGAATTGGGTATGCTAAATTGTCCGTAGTGTATGAGTATGTGTGTGTGTATGATTCCCAGAGATGGGTTGCGGCTGGAAGGGCAAAAGCTGCATAAAAACTTATTAAGTTGGCAGTTCATTCCGCTGTGGCGACCCCGGATTAATAAAGGGACTAAGCCAACAAGAAAATGAATGAAGATTCTTTAGCAACTAAATATTTAAATGCCTAAAGCTGATGTTCTTTCTTCACAGCTCAAGTGTTTGTATGTTGTAGTGCTGTGTGTCCAGCAGGAGGCGCCACTCAGGCTTAGTGATGATGTTGATGATGATAAGGATGTAGTGTGTGTGTGTGTGTGTGTGTGTGTGTGTGTGTGTGTGTGTTTTTGCACCTGTTTGCTCGTTTGAGGTCATTAACGAACTCTGCTGACTGCTGATGCCGGACTTCACTGCTCTTGGTCAATCTCTCCAGCGCAGAGACCAGCTCCTGAACACGAGCCTTCAGCTTCTTCTCTCTGCACACACACACACATACACATATGCATGTACAGTTTAGGTCTTAATTCATCATCCTCCTGTGATTTCTTGCTTTTTTTCTTCAAATGTTTCACAAATGATGTTGAACAGATTCAGGAGTTGTTCACAGTATTTCCTCTAATATTTTTTCTTCTGGAGAAAGTCTTATTTGTTTTATTTCGGCTAGAATAAAAGCAGTTTTTAATTGTTTTAAACCCATTTTAAGGTCAATATTATTCGCCCCTTCAGCAATATTAGTTTTGGATTGTCTCCAGAACAAACCACTGTTATACAGTGACTTGCCTAATTACCCTAACTTTACCCTAAATAACCTTGTGAAGCCTTTCAATGTCACTTTAAGCTGTATAGAAGTGTCTTGAAGAATATCTAGTCTAATATTATTTACTGTCATCATGACAAAGATAAAAGAAATCAGCTATTAGAGATGAGTTATTAAAACTATTACGATTAGAAAAGTGCTGAAATTTTTTTTTCTGTCTGTTAAACAGGAATTGGGGATAAAAAAAACATTCAGGAGGGCTGATAAGTCTGACGTCAGCTGTGTGTATACATCTGAAAGCTGTGCTGTAGTGGTGTGTTTCATGCTGTAGTGCGTGTTCTGACCTCCTGAGGGCGCCTGTGAGTTCTGCTGCCAGATCACCATCACTGAGATTCCTCAGATCACACACACTGACGGATGGAGAGTCTCCACAGTCCTGCACACACACACACACACACACACAAATAAATAAATAAAACAACTACTATGAAGTGTTTTACCGTGTGTAAGGTATGTTTCTTGTTTCCCTGTGTACAGTAAGCGAGGTATTTACTGAGCACTGCGGACTTCTTACAAGATGTCAAATGCATATTTGATGTCTCTAGAGTGTGTAGTTAAGTATACATACATACATACATACATACATACATACATACATACACAGTTGAAAGCAGAAGTTTACATACACTGTATAAAAAGTCAGCTGTTAATGTGACTAAACTTTTTCTCTTTTAGGTAAGTTAAGATGATCACATGTCTTTCTGTTCTGCTTAATAGCAGAATATGAGAGATATATTGTTTAAGAAATTGTCATAACTTTTCTAATGTCAAGTTTACACACAGTAAGATAATTCTGCCTCTGAAAAAGCTTAGATGATGATGTCAAGGTTTTGGAAGTTTCTGATTGGCTAATTGACAACATTTGAGTTAATTGGAGGCACAACTGTAGAATAGTGTTAAAGGAAAAGCTCAAACACACTGCTTCCTTTTGTGACATGTGAAAATCAACATGCCTGAATCAACAACAAAGCCAGATTACAATTTGCTCAATTACACTGGGAAAAGTCTAATGTTTGGAGACATGTCCTGTGCTCTGATGGAGCTAAGATTGAACTGTTTGGCCATAATGAGCAGTGTTACAATTGGAGGACAAAGGGGAAAGCGCACAAGCCGAGGAACACCATCCCAACTGTGCAGTAAGGGGGGGCAGCATCATGTTGTGGGGCTGTTTTGCTGCAGGAGGGACTGGTCCACTTCACAGCATAGATGGCATCATGAAGAAAGAACATTATGTAGAAATACTGAAGCAACATCTCAAGACATCAGCCAGGACATTACAACTGGGCCACAAATGGGTCTTCCAAACAGACCATGACCCTAAGCATACTGCCACATTAGTTCACATGTGCTTTACGGACAACAGAGTGAATGTTTTGGAGTGGCCATCACAAAGCCCTGATCTCAATCCTATAGAGAATGTGTGGGCAGAGTTGAAAAAGCTTGTGCGATCAAGACAGCCGACAAAGCTGACTCAGTTACAGCAATTCTGTCAGGAGGAATGGGCCAAAACTCCTGCAAACTATTGTGAGAAGCTTGTGGAAGGAGACCTGAAACATTTGACCAAAATTAGTTTAAAAGAAAAGCTAAAAAATACCAAGGAAATGTGTGTAAACTTCTGACTGTCTATAAATTAATAAAAAATTCTCGAAAACATTCTCTCATTATTCTGGCATTTAGCAAATGTCAATCATTTAGGTAATCCTAACAGACTTAAAGTAGTAAACGTTTAGAATGTTTTACCATCAGACATTTAAAAAAAAAGATTATGTTCCGTTTTTTTAGTGTATGTAAACTTCTACTTTCAAATATATACATATATATCAGAGGTCGCGTTAGACTTTCCCATTGTCTGTCATTTTAACAGAAGTAAAAATTCCGTCATAACCTATTACTGCCCGTCATTTGATTTGCATATTTTTTTAATCGCTTTTTTCATTCATATTTTATTTATGAACTTGCGCGACGAGCATATAGGCTAAATTATTAATTTACTTGTTTGGCAAATGAACAATAACTCTAACTAATATATTGCTCAACAATTAAATGTTTTTTTTTTGCACTGACAGCGGAGGGAATTAAAACACGACCAATTGTGCCTGAACACAGGCAGATATAAACAACAAAATATAACTATAGACTAAAATAAGAACACAACTTAAAAATGTAACTATTCAGACGATGTTCTGGAGAACTATCTGTCTTAACTCATATCTTCCTCCTGGTCCGCGTCGACCTTAACTGGGTGCTGGCCTGTGCATCATCAAACATATCACCGATGCAGAGGCAGTTGTCATTAAATTCTGTGTCTTTGCCTCGGAACTGTCTTGTGACAGTTTTAAATTTGTTCTGGAGGCTGAAGCCGCGTTCTGCTGCCACACTGGGGAATTACTAGCGCCACTTTAGCGGAAGTGATAAGAAGTTTGCAGGATTCTCTGAATGTGGGATTAACCGATCCTGCAAGCACTCGTTTGACGGGAATATCACGCGCTCTTTCTGCACTAGGGGCGCAGCTGCACCCCTCTGCGTTTCGTAGTGCTCACAAACGCACTCCAAAACACCTGACCTCCTTGCTACCGACAAAACAAGACAATTGTTAATTAATAAGGGCAATCGCCATCAGCTGGACAGGAGTGGGACTTACAGTTATCAACAAATTACAATAGATCACCCTCAGCATAATCTGTCAAAATGACGGATCACCTTTCGATTTTTCCATCACTGCTGAAAAAAATCCGTCAATGACGGAAGATATTCGGTTAATGCAACCACTGATATACATATATATATATATATACACACACACACACACACATACAGTTTTGTCCATATTGAGTTTCAGAGAATTTTAGTTAAGCCAATCATTCACTATGCCAATCACTCATTCATTAATATTTATCCATGACAGACTAAAACCACCAAACTAATTCAAGAACACACTCGGCTACATACAACCTAATTACTCACCAACAAAAACAAACCAAAAGACATGCATAAACCGCTTATGTTAACGCTGTTTTGCATTGAAGCGTCTGGATAAATGCGCACATGTAAAACTCTAACCCTAAATGCAATGCAGGACACTCTATTAATGTAAATACCTCTACTATAATGTTTACTGAAGATAATAAACACACACAGACTGGTGTTTAGAGCAGACCCGCTTCAAGGTCACGGTGTGATGGTGCATTCTGGGATATGAAGTGAATCAGCAGAAACTGGAAATGAAGATCTGGTGTAAAAGCTCAGAGGAGAAGATCGATCGAGACGAGGAGAGGAGAAGAAAAAATTCCTCCTCAATAATTCACACCGCTGGAGAGAGCAGACACGCTCTTTATTCTCTACATTACACATCAACATTTTAGTCAACCTTTAGTTTTAGCATTCTAATTAAATTCAGCATATTAGTATTTAATTTAGAAATTTTCATAACATTTTCATGGTTTGTTTTTCTCAAAATATACATATTTAGATTTTTCAGATATTTAGATTTTTGTTTATTAAATTCAATTTAACCTATTATTTCAACATTTCCCCAGAATAAGTTATATAATTGTTTTATTTTCAGCATTTTATTAACAAATAACTTTTTTCTTTGGAATTTATTGAGCATTTCCTCAAGCTTTTATTAAGACTTTTTTACAAAATTTAATCACTTGATCAAAGATGATCCAGCAGCTTTAGATATAACCTCTTATTTCTCTGTTTATCTCAGTATTTACCTCAGTAAGATGTGTACATGTGTCTATATTTTCACAGCAAAACAATAAAAGGAAGTTTGATGCAAATTTACCAAAAACTCTTGTTGTTCTTTCACAAAATCCTGGAGGGATTGATCTATGATTATCAGCATATTAGATGACTGATATCGTGGTTTGGGATTTTTGTGGTTGATTTTATGTAGTGTGTGTTGTGTATAGTCCATATATTGTCTTTATGCATCCTGTTATTCTCCCTCAGGCTAATGATATGGAAAATATTACTGTAAAGTACAAAATATAAGATTTACCAACATAACTGTGTTGTACTACTATTGATTATTTCCGCGTGACAGAACCTACACACACACATTCGCCAATCATCATCAGTTATGAGGTTGTCCCACCCCTACACACATATATGCCAATCCTTATCAGTTATGTGGTTTTCCTGCCCCTACACACACATTCGCCGATCATCATCAATTATGTGGTTGTCCTGCTCCTACATACACACATATTCGCCAATCATCATCAGTTATGTGGTTGTCCCACCCCTACAAACACATTTGCCAATCATCATCAGTTATGTGGTTGTCCCACCCCTACACACACATTCACCAATCATCGTCAGTGATGTGGTTGTCTCGCCTCTACACACACGCATGCCAATCATTATCAGTTTTGTGGTTGTCCCACCTCTACACACACCATTTCTCATGAGTTATGTAGTTATCCCGCCCCTACACACACATTCACCAGTCATCGTCAGTTATGTGGTTGTCCTGCCCCTACACACACATTCACCAGTCATCGTCAGTTATGTGGTTGTCCTGCCCCTACACACACATTCACCAGTCATCGTCAGTTATGTGGTTGTCCCACCCCTACACACACATTTGCCAATCATCATCAGTTATGTGGTTGTCCCACCCCTACACACATTTTCACCAATCATCATCAGTTATGTGGTTGTCCCACCCCTACACACACATTTGCCAATCATCATCAGTTATGTGGTTGTCCCACCCCTACACACACATTCACCAATCATCCTCAGTGATGTGGTTGTCCCGCCTCTACACACATGCATGCCAATCATTATCAGTTTTGTGGTTGTCCCACCTCTACACACACCATTCCTCATGAGTTATGTGGTTATCCCGCCCCTACACACACATTCACTAGTCTTTGTCAGTTATGTGGTTGTCCTGCCCCTACACACACATTCACCAGTCATCGTCAGTTATGTGGTTGTGCTGCCCCTACACACACACCAATTGTCATCAGTGATGTGGCTGTCCAGCCTCTAAATACATAAATGCCAATCATCATCAGTTATGTGGTTGTCCCACCCCTACACACACATTCGCCAATCATCATCAGTTATGTGGTTGTCCCACCCCTACACACACATTTGCCAATCATCATCAGTTATGTGGTTGTCCCACCCCTACACACACATTCGCCAATCATCATCAGTTATGTGGTTGTCCTGCCCCTACACACACATATTCACCAATCATCATTAATTATGTTGTTTTCCAACCCCTACACACACATTTTCCAATCATCGTCGGTTATGTGGTTGTCCCACCCCCACACACATTTGCCAATTATCATCAGTTATGTGGTTGTCCTGCTCTGACATACACACATATTCGCCTATCATTATCAGTTATGTGGTTGTCCTGCCCCTACACACACATGTACCAATCATCGTCGGTTACATGGTTGTCCCACCCCTACACACACAGACACACGTCAATATATATCATTATATCAATTATATAACACATTTTATTGTCAGTAATGAAAACAACGTTGTAACTGAGGAAACTTATCTGTAATTTATCTGATTACTCGTTACTGAAAAAGTTATTTCATAGGTAACGCCGTCTATTCATGACGCTGTTGTTCTCATTACTAATGGTCTGTAGTGTTTATTGCGTGTACTGCACCTTGCTGCTGCTGCTGCAGGTGGAGGTAGAGGTGAGTGCAGTGTGTCTCTGCTCCTGATGTTCCTCCAGCTCAGCCTTCAGATGCTCGATGTGCACCAGATACGCCTGTTCCTGAGCCTCACGACTGCTGAGCTTCAGCTCCAGAGCCTTCTTCTCCTTCTCTAGCAGGTACAGCTGAGCCTTCAGCTCCGCCATCTCCTCCTGACGAACATACACACATCAAAATCACAAAAACAAGTCAAAATTATTCAACCTCCTCTGAAAGTTTTTATACTTTTTCCAATTTTTCCCCAAGTGACATTTAACAGATCAATTAAATTTGCACTGTGTGATGCTATCATGTCAATATGGAGCAAAATCTCAGAGGAATATTTTCAGTAGCTTGTTGAATCTACGCCATGATGGATTAAGGCAGTTCTAAAGGCAAAAAGTGGTCCAACCCGGTACTAGTAAGGTGTACCTAATAAAGTGGCCAGTGAGTGTATGTCAGGAATGATGCATCCTGATTTAAATGCCTACTTGTAGCCTATCAAATGCACACTTTTTAATCCAGTGCATCAAAGCACAAACTTTTTTTTTAACCGATGCACCGACCGATTCAGGGAATCTCGCCATGGCTAATCTGATGGCCTGCTGTGCTGCGCTTTATCTGCTCCTCTTATGTTTTATCCATCTGTGACCTTCAGCGCTGGCGTGTGTGTTTGAGATGATGTGAATCTGTTTGGACACGATGAGAGATGATTTTGATATGAACAACCCAGATGACATTTCTCCAGCAGATTATTGTGAAAGACTGAAGAATGACTGACCTTCAGAGACCGACACTATCAGTCACATCACAGCCAGAGAAATAACACACAGACGCAGCTGCAGCGTGTGTTTACGTCCGCCGTATTCAACTATTCTCAGCTGCAGTTCATATTTCACTGTTTACACTATGCATTCATGATTTTGTGCAGTGCATGTTCATGGTTGGACACTCTCAAGACATGCAAGTAACCTAATATGGGAACACTTTAGTTTAAGTAAAATTTTCTATTATTATTACCTGCCTATCATTAGAATATTGGCTGTTCATTATAAAGTATGACCTTAACATAATAGTTTTAGTAACTCATTTCTAAAAACTGATTTCTTTTATCTTTGTCATGATGACAGTAAATAATATTAGACTAGATATTCTTCAAGACACTAGTATTCAGCTTAAAGTGGCATTTAAAGGCTTCACTAGGTTAATTAGGGTAAAGTTAGGGTGATTAGGCAAGTCATTGTATAACAGTGGTTTGTTCTGGAGACAATCCAACACTGATATTGCTGAAGGGGCTAATAATATTGACCTTAAAATGGCTTTAAAACAATTAAGAACTGCTTTTATTCCAGCCGAAATAAAACAAATCAGACTTTCTCCAGAAGAAAAAATATTATCAGACATACTGTGAACATTTCCTGAATCTGATAAAGAGCCCCTACTACGTTTTTTTGAATATGACCTTCAATGCAGTGTGTAACACAGCTCTGAGTGAATGAAAACATCCAGCTGAGGTTTAAATGTGAAAGTGCATCATGCTTAAAAATATTGATTCTACAATGAAAAGTCGACTCAATAAGTCGAATAAATGAATCCAGGGTATATACTGGGTCAGTGTATATTTACGATAATGAATATATTGTAAATTATGTTGTTCCATATAACCGGCTATAATAAGGAAAATATGTCTAAACAAAATCCCTAAAATATCTTTTATAACATTATTAGGTGGAAAGAAATAATAGCCTATAGGCTAGTCTGTGTGTGGCAGCATCGCGTCACTGTAAATGAGTTGGCCTATCTGGTTTCGAAATATAAAAAAAACAAGTTTTTATTAGTTTTTGTTTTCTGATGATTTTATTTTTTGTTATTCAAAATGAAAAATGCAAATCAAATCATTTTTTTCATTTTCAAGAAAAATGAGCCATTTCTTGATTTTCTTTTAAAATTCAAAACCCAAAATCAAAAAACAAATTAAATTACAATTTTTGTTTTTTATTTTTAAAAACGAAAATCAAAAAACAGCTCGTTTTTCATTTTTAAATATCCATTTCTAAAATGAAAATCACTGACCATACTGGAAGCAGAGAGTGAAATTCAATACCTTTTAAAACCTTTTTTAAGACTCTTTCCATACAATTTTAAGAGCTTATAATAAGGCTGGGCGATTAATTGAAAAGTAATCGAAAATCGACATTCAGAACCGTTAATTGCTCCAAATTTTCCAGGTCAATTAATTCAATTACTTTTAATTTATACTTATTATACTATTCTGATATTATGTAAAAGAAAAAAAAGAAAAGAAAAAATAAGTAACCATGTCACAAGACATGTAACGCAGGCTGCGTGATTGGTCCTATGTGTTGAACTTTATCAGTAACTGTTATGCTCCGTTCACACGCACGAGTGACTTACATGTTAAGTCAATGCAAACGCGCGAATAGACATCCTGCGGCGCGATACATGCGAATGGTGCGGCGCGAATGACACAAATGGCGCTGTGCGAATGGCGCGATACGCACGAATGGCGCAGCACGAATTGAGCATTTTGCGCACTTATAACGTGCGTTTTGCGCAAATCTCTCGAGTTCGGAAATCTGAACTTCAGTGGACATTTGCACCGCGTTAACCAATCAGAAGCTTGCTCTTGTAGGGGCATGATTGTGACGTAGAACCTGTTAATGGTGTCCCGGGGGAAATCCTCCAGGCGACAACGACAAGAAGTTCACCAAACTGGGCTGGGCTCAGTCAGAAGCACCGCTGAAAGCCTCCATCATCCAGGTTCAGTTTCCAGTTTATGAGCTCACGGAGCTGGATGCACCTTTGAAAGCATGTAGTGGACTCAGACACGACCCTAAACATATCGACGCTGTTTTTCAGCCTTCATAAAGCACATAAACACTGTTATTTTCTTCATTAAATCCATGTTAGCCATTTAGCAACGAAGCTACAGTCACTGGGCAGACAGAGGCCCTGCCCATCACGCGAACCTGCGTCTGTTCTGAAGTGAATTTGACAAGCGATTGAAGCGGATTTGACGCGTGAATGAATCGAATAAACTTAAATGTTCACACGGCTAGTTACGCACGAATAGCGTGATTTTTTTGCAATCCGCATCTGGTGTGAACACAGCATTACTGTTCATATGGACCAGATTCTTCCTCCTCCAGATCAGAAGATGCAAGTGTGATTAAAATTGTTGCGTCATTTTGTGCAGTTTGCAAATGTATTTAATTGTGTGTTTTAACTTGTAATCTATGGGCTATTCACATGTCGCATTCAAAAACACATTGAAATCGGAACTTGTGCTTCTTCCTTTACCGATTTTAAATGCGTTTCTGAACTCTCGATCCTCTGCCGTTTGTCATTGTTATGGCCACCATCAGCTGTTCATACACACGGTGTGGTCAAGTAAATAGTTAAATTTTTGCCACTGTGTGGATTAAAACTGAATGTGTGTCACAGTTATTACTTGGAGTTAGAGAGTAGAGTAATATGGTGGTGTTTAACTGCAGTGCTTTAATGCACTCCTGCATTGGGCTCTCACATACTCTGTGCTACTTCATAGCCGTGGTGGGCATTTCTCTCCGTCTCGCTCTGAACGCAGTTGAGCAATCACAACAGACTGGGTCATCGGACCAATCAGCGCAGATTAGCATCGCGCTAAGGAGGCGTTTAGGAACAAAATCCAAAAAAACAAAAAAAAGTTTGGACTTGCTATTTACTCGCAATTTAAATCTTAATCATTAAATTCTTCCTCATTCGCTAAGTATTTGTCTCTCCTACTTAGGGTGACCAAACCCTTAATACATTTATACAAACAAAGCTGCTTTAAAAACGGTCTGTCCCTCGAGCATCCGCCTGTTGTTTGTAGCTTTAGCCTGCTAGCGCCGCTGGTCAGCTAAAGCTACCGACCTCTTTAACCATACACTTTTGACTTACTGGCTTTGCTCTTTACCCCGTAAAATGTCGCTTCCGTCTCTGTCCTTGTGTGCAGGAGAAGCATCGATGGAGGCGTTGGAGCTGGAGCTGGAAGAAGTGGAGTCCCAGATCCGCGCGCTGGTGGTAAGACGGTCGCGGCTACGGGAACGGCTTCTAGCCGTACCTAATGCTAAGGCCGTCTCATCACCTAAGGTACGTGGAAATTACAACCACATCATCCCCTCTACCTCAACCCCGCGTCCTTCTCTGTCCAGGCCCAGCGCACCCGGGGCGCGGCTCAGCCAGGCGTCGTTCACGCCGACACCCGGCTACCACGGCGCCTGGGTGCAGCCGCGCAAGGTGCTTCCCAGATCCCGGGGCAGAACGTCTCCGCCTGTGTTCGAGATCTCCACGGAGAACCGCTTCTCCCCTCTCCGCGAGTCGGGTCCCGATGTGGCCATCATCGGTGACTCGATCGTTCGTCACGTCCGTGCCGCCTCCTCAAAAGGTAATAAAGTACGTACTTTCTGCTTTCCTGGTGCCCGTGTGAAAAATATTTCTACACAGATTCCAACCATCCTGGGCGCTGCCGAGAGCCCTGGTGCCGTTGTCCTCCACGTGGGGACAAACGACACCGGGCTCCGGCAGTCGGAGATCCTGAAGAAGGACTTCAGGAGCCTGATCGAGACGGTTCGACGCACCTCGCCCGCCACGCAGATCATCGTTTCTGGGCCGCTTCCTACCTACCGCCGAGGAAATGAAAGGTTCAGTAGACTTTTAGCTTTGAATGAATGGCTAATAACATGGTGTAAAGAACAGAAATTGCTCTTTGCTAATAACTGGAATCTTTTCTGGGAGCGTCCTAGGCTCTTCCGTCCTGACGGCCTGCACCCCAGTCGAGCCGGAGCTGAACTCCTGTCGGACAACATCTCCAGACTACTTCGCACCATCTGACTAGCAGGTAAAAATTCACAAAATTCACACTATAGCCACCTAGACTCTTGTTCACCCCACTTAAACATCAGTAACGCATATCTGGCGAATCCTATAGAGACTGTGTCTGTTCCTCGTATTATTAGATTAAGAAATAAACGTACTGTGTGCTCCAGGAAAAATCTAGTAAGAATCAAACCAGAAAAACCAGTAGAAAGTGAAAATACAAATTTCGTAAAACTTGGTCTCCTAAACATCAGGTCACTTGCACCTAAAGCACTTATCATTAATGAAATAATAACAGAAAACAATCTTAATGCACTCTGTCTCACTGAAACCTGGCTGAAACAAAATGACTATATTAGCTTAAATGAAGCAACTCCTCCAGGATTCTTATATAAACATGAGGCTCGTCAAACTGGTCGTGGTGGTGGAGTTGCATCAATCTTTAGTGATTTCCTTAATATTAAACAGAGAAACGGACTTATGTTTAGCTCCTTTGAAGTATTATCGCTTAATGTTCAGCTTCCAGATACTATACAAAAACCTATGTTATCTCTCGCTTTAATCACCATATATAGACCCCCAGGACCCTATGTCAAATTTCTAAAAGAATTTTCTGATTTTATTTCTGACTTACTAGTCAAAACTGATAAAATGCTAATTGTAGGTGACTTTAACATCCACATAGATGACGCTAATGATACATTAGGGCTCGCGTTTATGGATTTAATACACTCACTTGGGATAAAGCAAAACGTTGTGGGTCCAACCCATCGCTTAAAGCATACATTAGATCTAATTCTGTCTTATGGAATCGAGGTTATTGACGTAGACATTATACCACAAAGTGATGATATTACAGATCACTACCTCTTACTATATAAGCTATGTTTACCTGAAATCAGCAAACCCGCTCCAATACTCCGCCCTAGTAGAACTATTGTTCCGTCAACTAAAGATGAATTTATAAATAACTTACCTGATCTCTCTCTATTTCGTAATGCACCCGCAAACTCAAATGATCTTGATGTAGTAACCAGCAGTATGGATGCCATCTTTACTAGCACACTAAATACTGTGGCACCCATAAAATTAAAAAAGGCTAGAGAGATTAAAACTATACCATGGTATAATAGTCATACTCGTGCGCTCAAAACAGCAACCCGCGCCCTGGAACGTAAATGGAAAAAAACAAATTTAGAGGTCTTTAGAATTGCGTACAAAGACAGTATGTCCAGCTATAGGAGGGCTCTAAAATCTGCCAGGACCGAGCACCTGCGCAAACTGATAGAAAATAATCATAACAATCCTAGATTTTTATTTAACACCATCTCTAAATTAGCAAATAATCGGTCATCCTTGGAACAAACTACTCCACCGCAAATTAGTAGTGATGACTTCATGAATTTTTTCAGTAATAAAATAGAAGGCTTTAGACAGAAAATAGGAGATGCCAAACTTTCTGCACCGGCTTATACTCCAAATCCTGTAAATATTTCATTAAATCATAATAATAACCTACACTGCTTCAAAATCATAGAACATGAAGAGTTAGTAAAAATTATAAATAGCTCTAAACCAGCTACGTGTATGCTGGACTCAATTCCAACAAAATTACTGAAAGAGCTGCTACCTGCTATAGGAGAACCTCTTCTTAACATTATCAACTCTTCTTTATCTATAGGCCATGTTCCAAACTCTTACAAGCTAGCTGTTATTAAGCCTATTATTAAGAAACCACAACTAGACACCAACAACTTAGCTAACTATAGGCCTATTTCAAATCTTCCATTTATGTCTAAAATACTAGAAAAAGTTGTTTCAACTCAATTATGCTCTTATCTGCAGACGAACAATATTTTTGAAGTGTTTCAGTCAGGTTTCAGGGCTCACCACAGTACAGAAACCGCCTTAGTGAAAATAACCAACGATTTACTCTTAGCTGCTGACCGAGGGTGCGTCTCGCTATTAGTTTTACTCGATCTTAGTGCGGCATTTGATACCATTGACCACAATATCCTCATAAATCGCTTAAAGTCTACAGGTGTCCAGGGACAGGCTCTACAATGGTTTAAGTCATACTTAACTGACCGCTACCAGTTTGTAAATCTTAATGGACAGCCTTCACAAATCTGCCCAGTAAAGTATGGGGTGCCTCAAGGATCAGTTTTAGGCCCTTTACTGTTTACAATTTACATGCTACCTATGGGAGACATTATTAGAAGACATGGGATCAGCTTTCACTGCTATGCAGATGATACTCAATTATATATTTCCACTAAACCTGACGAGACGTCTGAACTTTCTAAACTAACTGAGTGTATCAAAGACATCAAAGACTGGATGACCAACAATTTTCTTCCCTTAAACTCAGACAAAACAGAATTATTACTTATTGGGCCTAAATCTTGCACACAGCAGATCTCGCAACTCAATTTACAATTAGAGGGATACAAAGTTAGCTTTAGCTCTACTATAAAAGATCTGGGTGTCATATTAGACAGCAATCTAACTTTTAAAAACCATATATCCCATGTCACAAAAACTGCCTTCTTTCATCTGAGAAATATCGCTAAATTACGAAATATGCTATCCATCTCAGATGCAGAAAAGCTAGTCCATGCTTTTATGACTTCGAGACTGGATTACTGTAATGCTCTATTTGCTGGCTGCCCAGCATCCTCTATTAACAAACTTCAATTAGTGCAAAATGCAGCAGCCAGAGTTCTGACCAGGTCTAGAAAATATGATCATATAACCCCAATTTTATCCTCCTTACACTGGCTGCCTGTTAAATTTCGTATTGAATTTAAAATATTACTTCTCACCTATAAAGCTCTAAATAATCTAGCTCCTGTTTATCTAACCAACCTTCTGTCTCGCTACGAACCAACTCGCTCCTTAAGATCTCAAAATTCAGGGCTTCTGGTAGTACCTAGAATAGCAAAATCAAGTAAAGGAGGTCGAGCCTTCTCTTTCATGGCTCCTACACTCTGGAATAGCCTTCCTGGTAATGTCCGAGGCTCAGACACACTCTCCCAGTTCAAAACTAGATTAAAGACCTATCTGTTTAGTAAAGCATACACTCAGTGCATCACCTAGCAGGTTCCACACTGGCTTCTACATTTTGCTTATATACACTATGAACAGCAGCTACGCTAATTATTCTCTTTATTCTCTATTTTCACCTGGGGATACTCATCCCGAGGTCCTCAGATTATGCGGAGTCACTGATTGGATCCAAGACCAGCGACGTGATGATCCCAAGGATTCCATATCCGGGACCAGGCCATATCCTGAGCTGCTGCTGCGCTGATGGTCGTGGGGAGTGGAGATCATGTGTCTGATTCCAGCGACGCTCCAGGGACAGACGAGTCTTCATTGAGGCCATCTTCCAGCATAAACCACGGCGAATGAAGTTCTGCACAAGACTTTTGGCCAGCGGAGAAATTAAAATGGTCGTGCCCAACTGAGTCTGGTTCTCTCAAGGTTTTTTTTCTTCACTCCCATCAGGTGAAGTTTTTTTTCCCTCCCCGCTGTCGCCACTGCCTCGCATGGTTCAGGATTGGTAGAGCTACGCATCGTTGAATTTGCTCTTCAGTGTTTGAACTCTCAGTAATGATTAAATCACACTGAACTGAGCTAAACTGAACTGAACTGAACTTAAACACTAAAACCTGAACCACACTGTTCCAATTACTATGACCATTTATGTGAAGCTGCTTTGACACAATCTACATTGTAAAAGCGCTATACAAATAAAGCTGAATTGAATTGAATTGAATCCTCTAAAGGATTGTTAGTCTGCATTATTTAGGGCAACTGGAGCCAGGAGCACTTCCCAAAAGACATTATAATTTAAACAGCATCTGTGCTTATGTTAATCTGTTTTTATTATTCCCGAGGTTTCCACAGTCCTGGACCAGGCCGTATCCTGAGCAGCTGCTGTGGTGGTCATGGAAGAGTGGTGAGCATAAGATCTCTGTAAGTCCCCAGTGACAGACGAGTCCTTGCATTGATCTTGAAGGGCCAGCCTGAACATCAGCCGGTGTCCTACTCACACCTGCAGCTTCTCCATGATGGATGTCCAGCAATCTCCAGCCTCCGGCACCTTGACTGCAGCTCTGCACAAGACGTTTGGCCAGAGTAGAAATGGTCGTGCCCAACCAAGCCTGGTTTCAGTCTGGGTTTTTTTCCCTTCACTTTCACAAATTGGTGAAGTTTTTCCCTCGCCACTGACGCCACTGGCTTGCTTGGTTTAGGACGTCCGGAGCTGTGCATCGATGGATTTGCTCTTCAGAGTTTGGACTTTCAGCAGTGAATATTAAAACACATTGACCGATTGAACGATTCATATGGAAGTCACTGGGATAATCAGGTAAAACTAAATGCATATTATAAGACAATGAAAGTGTTTTTTGACCCTGCATGCAGATCAGCCTGCAATTGGAGACCCCTAAAACCAAATTATGACCTTTTTAATGCAAAAACAGAGGCTCTTCAAACATCATTAGGGAAATACTTGAAAAATAATAAATCCTAATAATTTTGACCAACAGTAAATGCTGACTGTTAAACGCGTCATAACAGTCTTGTGAAAGTAACTGTATCTGAGGTGTGTGTGTGTGTGCACCTTCATGGCCATGAGCTCCTGCATGAGCACAGCGTTCTCCAGGTCCAGTCTCTGCGCGTCTCCTCCGCCGCGGGTTCTGAGTTCTGGGCTGAGCGGCTCGATGTGGACGCTCTCCAGATCCAGCATGGTGAGCTTCACTGCCGCGCGGTCGTTCTTCAGCTGCTGCACGTAATCCTTCAGACGCTGCTCGTCCTCCTTGGAGAAATCTGTGTCACAGCTGCTCGCCGTCGAGCTGGTGGTGCTGAGAGAACACACACACACAGGTGAGCAAAATACACCAACAATACACTCATACACACACATATGCATTAAGAGACATACGGTTGAGGTCAGAACTATTCGCTCCCCTGCTTATTTTTTCCCCCCCAATATTTCTGTTTAACGGAGAGCAGATTTCTTCAGCACATTTCTAATCATAATAGTTTAATAACTCATCTCTAATAACTGATTTATTTTCTCTTTGTCATGATGACAGTAAATAATATTAGACTAGATATTCTTCAAGACACTTCTATACAGCTTAAAGTGACATTTAAAGGCTTCACTAGGGTAATTAGGGTAACTAGGCAGGTTAGGGTAAATAGGCAAGTTATTGTTTAACGATGGTTAATTCTGTAGACTATCAAGAAAATATATAGTTTAAAGGGGCTAATAATATTGACCTTAAAATGGTGTTTAAAAAATTAAAAACTGCTTTTATTCTAGCCAAAATAAAACAAATAAGACTTTCTCCAGAAGAAAAAATATTATCAGACATACTGTAAACATTTCCTGAATCTGCTCAACATCATTTGAGAAATATTTAAAAAAAGAAAAAAAAATCAAAAGGGGGCGAATAATTCTGACTTCAACTGTGTATGCGCACAAAATGAATAAAAGTTCACACGCACGCACGCACGCACGCACACACACACACACACATACACACACATACACACACACACACACACGCACACAAAATAAACCAATAATTCTCTCACATATATACATGCAAACACACACCAAAAACACCTCACACACTCAACATCCACAGCTAATTTTGTGTGTTAAACTTGTTAATAAAATGTACAGTAAATGATTTATAACTAGGGCCAGACGGAATCTGCGGACGTTTTTTGCTATTTCTGCTGAGAATTTTGGTAAAAATCTGCGGAATTACTTTGGGAGTATCCAGCGGAGTATCATAACTAAAACCTTAATATATTAAATCAAAAGTAATAAATTACTGAATAAAAACTGAATAAATTCAGATTTACACATTTAATCAAGTAAATAAACAGAATTAATAATGGGCTAAAAAATCTGCAGAAATCTGCGGAATTCTGCAGAAAATCTTTGGAAAATCTGTGGAATTCTGCGCGCGCAGATTCCGTGTGGGCCTATTTATAACCCAATAAATCTCTATATTTATCTCAAGGCATTGAATTTGACTTTGTTTTTGGATTTAGCTGAATTCATTAATATCAACAATAGTTTCTTGACTTCTGTTAAGAGTTTACAAATATTATTACAGTAATAATAATGTATTAGGCATACTAACAAATAATGAATTCATTCATTCATTTTTCTTCGGCTTAGTCACTTTATTCATCAGAGGTCGCCACAGTGGAATGAACCACCAACTATTCTAGCATATCTTTTACACAGCGGATGCCCTTACAGCTGCAACCCAGTACTTGGAAACATCCACACACACTACGGTCAATTTAGTTCATCAATCCCCCTATAGCGCATGTGTTTGGACTGTGGGAAACCGGAGCACCCAGAGGAAACCCACACCAACATGGAGAGAACATGCAAACTCCACACAGAAACACCAACTGACCCAGCTGAGGCTCGAACCAGCGACCTTCTTGCTGTGAGACCACAGTGCTAACCACTGAGCCACCGTGCTTCCCTCAAAAAATAAATTGGTTACATTAATAATAATATTTAATAACATTTAAGGACAATTATTTTTGTACGTGTGTAGTGTTTGAGCAACATCAGTTTGGCCTGTATGAGTGTGTTGAGCTGCAGTGAGGAAGAGTTACTGATGCTCCAGAGTCTTTAATCATCATCAGTGTGAACGAGGACACACACACACACACACACACACACACACACACACACACACACACACACACACACACACACACACACACACACACACACACACACACACACAAACACAATGAAGTGTGAAAATGACTCTCCCTGCCTCAATTAGCAAACCCCGATTACACTGACAACCCCAATTACCTCCATCTGCACTGACACACTCCTGACACACACATGCATGCACACACCTACACACATACACACAGTACAAGTATTATATGATACATTTGATTATAAATAAGGAAGCACAATGGCTCAGTGGTTAGCACTGTGGCCTCACAGCAACAAAGTTGCTGGTTCGAGTCCTGGCTGGGTCAGTTGGTTTTTCTGTGTGGAGTTTGCATGTTCTCCCCGTGTTGGTGTGGGTTTCCTCGGGTGCTCCGGTTTCCCCCACAGTCCAAACACACGCGCTATAGGGGAACTGATGAACTAAACTGGCCGTAGTGTGTGTGTGTGTGTGTGTGAATGAGAGTTTATGGGTGTTTCTGCTGTGTAAAACATATGCTGGAATAGTTGGCAGTTCATTCCGCCGTGGCGACCCCAGATAAATAAGGGACTAAACTGAAGGAAATTGAATGAATGAATGATTATAAATAGCACTATATATTTTAATTAATTTATTTACAGTAAAACAATTATAAAAATATTAATATTGGGTATTAATATTTTGGGTTAAACAAAAAATACAAAAATATTGGGTTAAAACAGCACAACTCGTACATGACTATAAAAGAGTTCAATGATTTTGTTAAATTAATAAAAAACAATAAGCTGAACTGGATGATGCAGAATTGAATGATTTTTCAGGTTAAATAATAAAACTGCCAGTTTGAGAAATTACAGCAGACGTCCGCGCAAATCACCCCAGTCACATGCAATAAGCTCTGTGTGTGTGTGTGTGTGTGTGTGTGTGTGTGTGTGTGTGTACCTGTGGGAGGAAACGCACAGTATTAGACTGTTTGAAGTAGTTATTGTGATTAATGTGAGCCGCCTTTTAGTTTTATTTGACATTCATATCATCACTAAAACATTTTTGAATCGCACACAGCAGCCCACACTGACAGAAGAACACAGAGCTGTTCACATTTCTGCAGATTGATTAAAACAGAAAAACTGGAGTATCACATGCTCACGAGTGTTCAGAGCCTGTGCTTATCTTTATCTTTAACTCTGCTGTTTCTCCATTTCTTCAGATCATCCAGCTCACAGTGCAGGTCAGAGCGATGAGAATTATGAGGAGCTGTCTGAAGAGCTCAGGGACAGAAGTGTGGGAAGGCGCAGATCTGGACAAGCTTACAGAAACATTTCTGCTGCACTGCAGGCTCCTCAGAGCACAGCGGCCTCCATAATCCTTAAATAGTCACGAAACACCAGAACACATTTGTTTGAGCTGTTGACAGTGGTATATGTGTCCCACACTGCTATAAACACTATTAGGACACCTATATTTCACTAAAAAGTGTAAATTGGTTGTTTTTGCGTTATTTCAAGCAAATTCGTACTTCCGGTTTGAAACAAATTTTTGAAGCTGCGTCACGGTCATGACATAATATCGTGTATTCCAGCGTGCAGACTGAGCGTCTGTGCCAGAGTGAGTCTTATTACATCTTACAGTGTGATGCATTAATGCATGAGTAAAGCTTGGTTCAAACCAATCAGCGCGCTCTATTGTGCAACTTCATTAATATTCATTACTGTCACAGTGTTTAGACGGCAGAGACGCCACGTTGTGTTGGCAAAACAAGCGTGAAGTGTTGCTTTTATAGTTTGCTGCAGTGAAGTTTTGTTTTCATTTTCTCTCTGTGAGAGCTCAGCTGGAGTCACATGTGGATTAACAGTGTACGCGACGCTCGACAACAATAACTTGCGTGTCTAAGGAGGATTATTGTTTACCTGAGAGCTGTTCTCATCTGCAAACGCTGAGATCTGGATTCGCTTGTAGTCTTCTCTTAATAAAGACGCGGCTCTAGTTGCTGGTGATTGTCCTGTCTCTACAGATTTGGTAAGTGAGTGATCAGCGCTCTTTGTTTATTCAGTTTGTTCATATCTAACTAACTATTGCACCGAGTGTAAACACGTTAGCACCACAACCAAACTTTAACCTCGTGTAGGGTTTTTACCGCATTTAGTGATCGGAATAACACACGCGGCTTTCTGACACTACCTGCCGTGTGCATCTAAGTTTCAGGGAAATGCTGAGGGTTTTTTTCTCTCATTCGCCGTGCGGTATCAAACATTGCATGAAAAATACACGCTTAGAGCAGTTCCTCGAATCAAATATCTCGTTTGTCGCGAGGGGCATGAATGAATTCCCTGAATGAAAGAGCCAAACTGCCGTTAAAGTCCAACATTTAATAATTTGGCAAATAATTCGACTACAGATGTCCATGTAAAGACAGTCACTTTCTCCCCTGTGTGTGTGTGTGTGTGTGTGTGTTTTGACTCTGAAACTCAGCGCCCAAATAGACACACCCACACCATGCCTCTTTTCCTTTAACTATGAGGTAAACACAGAACAAAACTTTCCATCTGGAGCTCCTTCACGGGACTCCACACTTGTAAACAATCGCTCCATTGGGTTCGCGTCATTTGCGTGGCTCTCGGTCCCGCCCAGACTCGTCAGCGCTACCAAGCCGACCAATCACAGAGCTTGCGCTATGCGTCGTTGCGACGTGTAGTTACAATTTTTGAGAGGTGCACGTCAGCCACGCCGACGGCCACGGCAAAGGGCTATGCGTCAGCACCGTAGCATACGCCGGTGTTTGACGCAGAAGTATAAATCAGCCTTTAGTGGCCACATACACGGACAGCACATTTTAGCTCTTATGTTTTAGATTTTGTTACAGTAATATAGTGTCATCCAGCATATGAAATGTCCCAAACACTATTTTAACTGTCCAAAATGGGCAAAAGAAGTTGTTTATACTGATAGTCAAAACATGTTAAAATAATATGTGTGTGTGTGTGTTATTAATGCATTAAAAACTGTCAGGAAAAAACTGCTGTGTTCAAGGCAGAAATAAAGAGTTTTTCATTCTGTTACACAAAGGTGACTTTATTGTGTTTCATGGAAATTGGGAACACGAGTCCAATTAGTGATGGGTCGTTCATGAATGATTTGTTCATTTTGAACGAATCTTCAATATGACTTGGGAACTACGAGTCCTCTCAGGGAGTGATTCGTTCATTCGCGCGTGCGCACATTTGTGCAGGTGGTATCGTTAATTTCTTTAAGTCGTTCATCGCGGAAAGGCAGAAGCCAATCATATGCGTTTAGAGGCGGAAAAAGAATTGATCCGTTCATCTCTCGAGTTCTCTATTGGGTCTGAGTCATTCGTTCCTCACGGGCCAGTCATATGCATTTAGAGCCGGAAAGAGATTTGATCCGTTCACGTCTCGAGTCCTCGGGTTTGAGTCATTCTGTCACGTGATAAACAAACGACTCAAGAAGCAGAAGACTCGAAAGGTGAACTAATGATCATGGCTCCTATCGACTCAGACTGTGGCCCCGTTTACACTAATGCGTTTTTCGTTTTAAAGCACATTAGTTTTGCTACGGTTATGCCGTCCGTCCACACTACGCCGGAGTTCTCGAGCGCCGAAAACAGAGTGTTTTGAAAACGCTGGAGAGGCCGTTTTCATTCTGAAACGCTGCTGCTCCGTCTCAGTGTGGATGAGGGAAAACGGAGACATCTGAAAACAGAGGCGGGGCTGCAGACATTCGCCTCTCTGATTGGGCTTCTCCTCAAGATTAAGTAGCCCACACACACAGTTCAGTCTCGCATCCTTTCCATGTCAGTTCAGAGTAGAGGTCTGCATTCCCGTGGCTGTCCCGCGGGCGCCACAGAACCCGACAAGATTTCTGCGGCGCGGGAATACATTTCCGAATAAATCGCAGGCGCGGTCAGTAACGGGTTTAATTTGGGACGAGAGCGGGCTGTCTAGCAATATCGCTCCCGACTCCTGAGCTAGCACGCGTATGTATGTGTGTAAATGAAATAGCGCGATGCTGTGTTTAGCTTGTCTGCTGCTGTGTGTGTGTGCGTATGTGTGCGCGCGAATGAGAGAGAGAGCTTTTCCTGTGTGTGTGCTTGGTGCTTGCTTGTGTGTGTGTGTGTGTGTGTGTGTGTGTGTGTGTGTGTGTTAGTGCGCGCGCGCGAATGAAAGAGAGCTTTGTGTGTGTGTGTGTGTGTGTGTGCTTGGTGCTTATATATGTGTGTGTGTTTATACAGATAACTTGTTATAGGCTGTCTGGACTGTATAGCTGGGTGATTTTCGGTTTTGTTCTCCGATCGGGATCGGGCGCGGCGGGTAGAAAACGGGGCGGGTTGGGCAGCGGGACAACACATACTTAATATAAGCGAGAGCGGTCGGGTTCGGGCTAAAACCGGGCGGGTGCGGGCGGGAGTGGGATTCAAAATTTAGTCCCGCGCAGATCTCTAGTTCAGACTTTGTTTGATCCAGGCTGCGGTCTCCCCCTTCTCAGTTTGATATGGAAAACAGACTACCGAGGACACGGGTAAATCTTCAAAGGGAACAGTGTACTTCATAACTTCATTCCCTGACTACGCTGTTTCACTTTCTCAACAATAAAGTGTAAACATGATTTAAGGAACTGCCTATTTTCATTTTATTATTAGCAACTTAACAGACAGCAGAAATGTTGAGGCGTCGTGCTGCATATATGAGCGTCATCTTCCCTGTGTGGATATTTATAAAAAAACAGAGCCTATAACAACGGCCTCCTTTCAATTTCAGTGAAAATACGAAACACACCCTCTCTTCTGCTGAATATCAGTTTTGGTAATCAATAATGGCCATTATAAAAGTATAACATACAATAAGTTTATACATTATAGCACAGGTGTCAAACTCAGTTCCGAAAGGGCCGCAGCTCTGCACAGTTTAGTTGCAACCCTAATTAAACACACCAGATCAAACTAATTGAGTCCCTCAGGCTTGTTTGAAACCTACAGGTAAGTGTGTCTGGGTGTGAGGGGTGCCCTTCTGCTCGCTCTGGATAAGTACAGTTCCTGGAAAGAAGGAAGAGTTGTACCAACCTCTGGAGACTACATCGAATAGTTCAGACTGCTGAGTGAATCATTGGATTTGGTAGCTGAGCTAAACCACACAGTTATTGAAGTGCAGAGTGCTCAGGTGCTCAGACTGGGCTGACGGTTTACCTTCCAACAAGACATTAGCCCCTTTCACACATACAGACCTTTCCGGAAAATTACCGGCAATTTTCCGGAAAGGTGTGTATGTGTGAACAGGCCCTTTTTGAAAATACCGGTAAATTCGTTCTGGCTATTTTCCGGTTAGAGAAGTTGTAAGATTACTGGTAATTTGCCGGAATGCTGCGCTGTGTGAATGCAGAAGGAAGATTGCCGGAAAAAGAGCGTGTCCACGTCTAGAACGTGCTGACGTGAGACACTTGCTTTAGCCAATCAGAACAGTCAGACATATTCACGTGCGCGCGGTTTATGAGAATAAAAGCCTTTGAATATTTTTCCAGACACCTTTAGCTGCTAGATGTTCGTCAGATAACGTTTCTATGTTCCTTCCTAATGCTAACTGTGTAAATAATTATCGATAAAATGTTTATGATAATCCGTTGTTTGTTTACCTTCAAGCTTTGCGTGTGCCCGTGAGCGCCCATAGCGCCAGCACACGCACATATCATGTACATCTCGACATGCGAAAGTGATCCTCTATATGTTTTCATTGGAGTTGTACTCAGTATTGATCATCCACAGAGTTTGTGATGTAGTCAAATGTTTACAAACACAAGCGCAGCCATTTACAGCTCATTTCTGGTTAATGATGTCAGAATTTACCGGTATTTTGCGATGGATGTGTGAATGCTCTTTTCCGGAAAAATTCCGTAACGTCCTCGCCTGTGTGAACAGCGCTTTTTTGAATACACCGGTAAAGTCGTTCCGGAAATTTTACGGATATTTACCGGTATCACTGTGTGAAAGAGGCTAATGACTCTAAGCAAACAGCTAGAACAATGAAGGAGTGGCTTCACATCAACTCTGTGACTGTTCTTGAATGGCCCAGCCAGAGCCTTGACTTCAACCCAATTGAGCATCTCTGGAGAGACCTAAAATGACCATCCACCAATGTTTACCATCCAACCTGACAGAACTGGAGAGGATCTGTAGGAGGAACGGCAGAGGATCCCAAATCCAGCTGTGAAAAACTTGTGTGTTTCTTAGAAAGACTCACGGCTGTATTAGATCAAGAGGTGCTTCTGCTAAACCCTGAGCACAGACTCTGAACACTCGTGAGCATGTGATACTCCAGATTTTCTGTTTTAATAAATCTGCTGATATGTCAACAGCTCTGTGTTCTTCTGGCAGTGTGGGCTGCTGTGTGGACATTCATGAGGACAACAGTGAACCGAAGTGATTTTAGCAAGTGGCTGCAATATAACGAAGAGAGAAACATTTAAAGGGGTCTGAATACTTTCCGTACACACTGTATATGCGAGCAGTGTGTGTGCGTTTGCGTGCAGTGTGTGTACTTGTCTGCAGTGTGTGCAGTGTAAATGTGCATTGAGGATGCATGCAGTGTGTGTGTTACCTGGTGTGGCTGTTGGAGGACAGACTCTCCCAGGGCTGAGCGCTGCAGCCGGTGACAGCGAACGCAGCGCCGCAGCTTCCGTCCAGACGCGTCAGCAGGTCTTTAGCAGCGTTTTCTGCTGTTTTCCTGCTGTCGTGAGCCTTCTTCAGGAGCTGACTGATGCTCTCCTCACCCGCATGCTCTCCTGCACACACACAAACACACACACACACACACACACACACACACACACACACACACACACACACACACACACACACACACACACACACACACACACACACAGCTCAGCAGAACTACACACCAGCAGATTATTCAGCGGACAGCTGGAACACTCAAACCACTGGACTGCTGTCCTTCAGTTATCCTGCTTCTAGTATAACGATCTAATAATTTATAAATCAAGAAGCACTTTCTAGACAAGCAAAAATACATTGACTTGTTTTTAGAAATAATATGTTTCGTTTACTAATACATCCTTGATTTGCCTCATTGTGTTGCATGATAAAGCTGTAGCGAGCAGTGTGTTTGTGTGTGTGCATGCGCAGTGTGTGTGTGTGATATTTCACTTGTGTAACATAAATTGCACACAGTTACTATTGAGCCAGTTCATAAAGTAATTAAAGAATGGGAGTAATGCTAAATGCAACACTTCAATTTAAACGCAAAACAGACTAATACATAATTTACATATGCATGTTGAAATGAAGCACCTACCAAACACTTCTATGTTATACTGAGCATTGTGGCATCCCTAGTTGCTATGCAGTTGCTAGGACGTCCAGTGTGGTTGATTCTACTGTAAGTATTGCTGTGCAGTTTCAGCAGTGGATGAATATATGCTAAAATATGCTAATCAGAGTAAGCGTCAGCGATGCACTGACAACATCCGCTAATTAATATGCAGGAACTGATTTAAACATTTATTCAAAAAGCGCAATGACAATGAAAAGAGCATCACTAAACAGACAAAGATCATATTTAGAAATCAAATACATTGAAATCTGCAGGGCTCCTGTGTTCATGCTAAACTCTCATCGCTTCATTGAATAATTAACTGTAATTTTTGTGGATGTGCTCGGATGATCATTACACTGACGACAGCATTTGAAACCATTCTCAGTCAGAAAACAACATAAAATAACGCTGCATTTTAATATGATTGATTACAGTTGAACAGATTTACGGCATGTGATTTATGTCTACGATTTATCGCCACCCTTTAAGATAATAAATCTCCATTAATCAAAGTTAAACTCCATTAAAACACACACAACAGAAACCAGAGTGACTGATTTATTTACATATGCAGATTTATTAAGGTTTTATGAAAACATGCACATGATGTTATTTTAGATTAAAGGATAAATAAATATTAATTTCTGATCTCAGAGGACTTTTATGCGTGTGTTTTTGTTTGACAGTTGATCAGGTGGTTTATTTTTAACATGCATGTGATAAACAGCAGAAGTCTATAATACAGGGGTCTCAAACTGCCGGCCCGCCCTTCTCCTCCCTCTGGCCCACAATTGATGGCAAAAAGATTCGGCCTGCCAAAACATATATTTTTAAACCACTATCACTGTGGTGCTGTCGCGTCTAGCCACTTGTGGTTTTGACCTAGTGGACATTTAAAGTACTGCATTCAGGCTAGTTTTACTTTCATTTTCTCTCAGTGTACGGTCGATGAGTTTTAATTCTGTGGCTGATTTAATTGTTAAAATATAAATCCGAAAGTGCTCTATTTATACTAAAGCGCTATTTTTGTAAATATTCAAGGGTCGTTTGATTATTATCCACTTTATACCACCTGTATTTTGTTGTACACACACTTCTATATGGCACACGTTATGCTGGTGCTGTGACAAATATGATCATTTTTGCTAATATTCGATTCAAAAGGTCTCATTTAATAGATTTTCCTCATATGCTGATTAAAATGTGCATAAAAACTATGTACATTAGTAAAATTGTACTGCTGGTTGAATTGAAGTTGTTAAAGTAAATGTAAATATGTAACTCATTTTCCCCTCTTAGTTGTTTTACAAAAAAAATAAAGTATTGAGAATTACCTAAACCGCTTTCTACTGTTCTTACGCTTTTGGGACAATAAAATACAGGGCTCCAAGTTGCGACCAAAGTATGCGCCCAAAAATTAATCTATGCGACCTCATAATATATATGGTCGCATTAGTGCGACTGCAGATAATGGTTGTAGTGCGACCTGTTTAGATTTTTTGTAAAAACGTGCTGAATCGCTCTTCCCTGCCGCTACATTGGTTTATATAAGCTGTCAATCACTCAAGGTATTCCGCTGTCAGGTGACGGAAGGAGCTTTTATGACCACAGGAAATGCAAACGGCTGAAGAGTAAAAACTTAAAGCACACAGGTTTGCAAACCCCACCTAAAGTTGAGGCGCAGATGAGAGCGGTCATGACATGTGGTGAATATTGATCCGCCAGCTGACATCGATCGAGTTCGTGCTTTTCGCGGCCGAATCTCAATGCGTTGCATTCACTGCGTGTTCAGCGCAAATGTCCGCTAAAAGTCAAATCTAATACTGTACATATCATCGCCAAAGAAGCTCGCCTTTACTAAGTTTACACTGAAACTGCGCCTCATCATAACAAACAGCGGTATTGCCAGGGCCGGAGCAAGCTGAACTGCCGCTCTAGGCAGAGGACGATCACGCCGCTCTCAACCCCAATGTGAAAACAAAAGTGACCGGTTATGAAAATGAAGTGAGGTGTCGCGGACCTTTATTCTGCCGCCTTATGCGCGGATATAACTGAGGACGTGCGGGTGCTAAGGGAGAGAGGGAAGTGTCGCTGACGCTGCTCTCTCTATTCTGCCGCCCTATGCGCGGATATAACTGAGGATGCGCGAGTGTCGCTGACCTCTATACTGCCGCCCTATGCGCGGATATAACTGAGGACGCGCGGGTGTCGCTGACCTCTATACTGCCGCCCTATGCACAGAAATTACTGAGGACGCGCGAGTGTCGCTGACCTCTATACTGCCGCCCTATGCACGGAAATAACTGAGGACGCGCGGGTGTCGCTGACCTCTATACTGCCGCCCTATGCGTGGATGTAACCGAGGACGCACGGGTGTCGCTGACCTCTATACTGCCGCCCTATGTGCGGAAATAACTGAGGACGTGCGAGTGTCGCTGACCTCTATACTGCCGCCCTATGCGCGGAAATAACTGAGGACGTGCGAGTGTCGCAGACCTCTATACTGCCGCCCTATGCGCGGATATAACTGAGGACGCGCGAGTGTCGCAGACCTCTATACTGCCGCCCTATGCGCGGAAATAACTGAGGACGCGCGAGTGTCGCAGACCTCTATACTGCCGCCCTATGCGCGGAAATAACTGAGGACGCGCGAGTGTCGCTGACCTCTATACTGCCGCCCTATGCGCGGAAATAACTGAGGACGCGCGAGTGTCGCAGACCTCTATACTGCCGCCCTATGCGCGGAAATAACTGAGGACGCGCGAGTGTCGCAGACCTCTATACTGCCGCCCTATGCGCGGAAATAACTGAGGACGCGCGAGTGTCGCAGACCTCTATACTGCCGCCCTATGCGCGGAAATAACTGAGGACGCGCGAGTGTCGCAGACCTCTATACTGCCGCCCTATGCGCGGAAATAACTGAGGACGCGCGAGTGTCGCTGACCTCTATACTGCCGCCCTATGCGCGGAAATAACTGAGAATGCGCGAGTGTCGCTGACCTCTAAATAACTGAGGACGCGCGGGTGTCGCAGACCTCTATACTGCCGCCCTATGCGCGGAAATAACTGAGGACGCGCGGGTGTCGCTGACCTCTATACTGCCGCCCTATGCGCGGAAATAACTGAGGACGCGCGGGTGTCGCAGACCTCTATACTGCCGCCCTATGCGCGGAAATAACTGAGGACGCGCGAGTGTCGCAGACCTCTATACTGCCGCCCTATGCGCGGAAATAACTGAGGACGCGCGAGTGTCGCAGACCTCTATACTGCCGCCCTATGCGCGGAAATAACTGAGGACGCGCGAGTGTCGCTGACCTCTATACTGCCGCCCTATGCGCGGAAATAACTGAGGACGCGCGGGTGTCGCAGACCTCTATACTGCCGCCCTATGCGCGGAAATAACTGAGGACGCGCGAGTGTCGCAGACCTCTATACTGCCGCCCTATGCGCGGAAATAACTGAGGACGCGCGAGTGTCGCTGACCTCTATACTGCCGCCCTATGCGCGGAAATAACTGAGGACGCGCGAGTGTCGCAGACCTCTATACTGCCGCCCTATGCTCGGAAATAACTGAGGACGCGCGAGTGTCGCTGACCTCTATACTGCCGCCCTATGCTCGGAAATAACTGAGGACGCGCGAGTGTCGCAGACCTCTATACTGCCGCCCTATGCGCGGAAATAACTGAGGACGCGCGAGTGTCGCAGACCTCTAAATAACTGAGGACGCGCGAGTGTCGCAGACCTCTATACTGCCGCCCTATGCGCGGAAATAACTGAGGACGCGCGAGTGTCGCTGACCTCTATACTGCCGCCCTATGCGCGGAAATAACTGAGGACGCGCGAGTGTCGCTGACCTCTATTCTGCCGCCCTATGCGCGGATATAACTAAGGACGTGCGGGTGTCGCTGACCTCTATACTGCCGCCCTATGCGCGGAAATAACTGAGGACGTGCCGGTGCTGAGGGAGAGAGGGAGGTGTCGCTGACGCTGCTCTCTCTATTCTGTCGTCTATGCACGAATATATCTGAGGACGCGGGTGGTGAGGGAGGTGTCGCGGACATAACTGAGGACGCAGGTGGTAGGGGGGCCCTCTCTATACTGCCGCCCTAGGCGGTCGCCTAGGTCGCCTCTATGGACGCGCCGGCCCTGGGTATTGTGCCAGTGGTCATCGCTAGAATCCTGCTCAACCTGCTCATAAATTGGGTCGGCTGACTCGCCTGCTTTCCACAAACACAGAAAAATGAAGATCACACAAGCTGAAACCAAAACTTTTAAAGAGTGATAGAAGTGAGACTTTACTTACTTTCTTTTGTGTATTCTGTCTTGAGGTGTTTATTATTTTTCTATTTAGTTACTATTGACTGTTTTGCAGGTTTCAGCATTGACGTGAATTATTTATTCTAATCTTTTGTTTGTTTTGTAGCAGAATTATTATTTATTAAACCGAAATGCATGTAAAAACAGCAGTACAAAATAAATATCTCTTACTGCAATGCTTCATTTGTGTTTGATGCAAACTATACAATTATTTTTCATAAAGCAGATAACCTACATTCATGCACATTCAAGGCAGTATCATAATTAGAAATGTAATTCATTGTTACTATTATTGTCATTTTCATCATCATTAATATTCTACAATTATCAGACATTCATTTTGGAATTATTGCACACAAATATCAATGTCATCTCAGCATTAGTTAGACAGTTGTTTTTGTTTTTTGTTAGTCCTTATTGATGTTGTTTTAAAATACAATAAATCCCTTAAAAACTATTTGCAGCGGTGCTCATTCATTTTTGGTGGTGCTCCTACATTTTTTCTGGTGCTCCTAAATATTTGAAGTTGGGAGCACCGGTGCTACCAAGTAAGAAAGTTAATTTCGAGCCCTGAGATATAATTATTATGCTGATTATTTGTAGTATTTTCATAGCAATTTAATCTCCCCCTTCAATAAGTACAACAAGAAACACACAGCTGCAGCTTCGACTGCATATACTCTGTGTAGAAACGACTGAGTGTGTGTCTAACGCTCGGCCATACACACAACCACCACAGACATAAATCAGCAGCTGATGTCTGTCAGATAAACGTGCTGATTTGCATTATCACCGCTGACAGGTAATGCTTGAAATGTAAACATCATGTCTGTTGTCTCTAAGATGCATCAGCTACATCAGGTTTACACTTTCTTCTTGTGCTTGAATGTTAAAGCAGCCCTCCTATGTATCGTCAGTCACTGAAATGGCCCCAGCCAATTTGAGTTTGAGACCCCTGCTATAATATGTCATCCTTTAGTGGTGTGTGTGTGTGTGTGTGTGTGTGTGTTCTCTTACCCACAGCACTGACTCCAGCTGCTCTGAACTGACCCAACACCAGACCCTGTTCACTCTCAGCCAGAGCCAACAGCAGCTCATAGGCCTCAATACACTGCTCACTGCAACACACACACACACACACACACACACACACACACACACACACACACACACACACACACACAAACACAAACACAAACACAAACACAAACACACACTCTTCATCACTCCTCTGTTGCTCTGACAGAGTTGACAATAGCAGATCAATAACAATAGCACATGATCAATAACAGGAGTCAACATGAACATCTTCATCACATTGTTTCTCACATATTTCTCTTTAACTTGACTCTTTAACTATATATACATACACACACACACACACACTCACACACAGACAGACAGACACACACACACATACGCACACACACAGTTCTGTTTTGTTCTCAAATCTAATTGGCTGATAGCCATGCAATACTCTACAATATCAGCACTCGTTCAGCCTCTTCACCCTTGTGTATTACTCCGCCCACATAGAGCAACAGCAGATCAATAAACTCACTACAGTTTGACAAATATTGCAGCTGTTGGACAACATCATGTACCTTTGAGGCTTTATTTAGTTGAGAATGTAGTTGTTTAGATTGCAGCTATGCAGTTTATTTATAAGGACGGTGACTGTGATGGCCATCAACCTGTCATGCTGAGCAGAGCAAAGATGGTTGATGTTCCTCCACAGGATGGCGACAGAGACCGCATAATAAGTGCTTAGAGAAGGAAAAACTCTAGATAAATTTCAAACTACAGCTGATCAAATCATTATAAAACAGGTAAGTGACTGTCTAAGTGGATCTCTCTCTCGTGTATGTTGTAGTGCTGTATTTATACCACAGAAACTGCTAGTGTTTGCTTTGCTTTTGGCTTTTTCAGGGTTAATTATTGTAAAATCCTGATTGCAACAGAGAAACACTGGGAAATCTCTGTAGACTGATGGCATTTCATGCTGTTCAGCCTTATAATCTTAAACTGTGAGCAAGATCAGCTGTTTTTGTCTTCACTTTAGACATTACGCTAGAGAATCACTCAAACACTAGCTCTACAGTGACGGTGGTGAATGTGTTAAGCCTGGTTTATACTTCTGCGTCAAGTGACCGGCGTAACTCACGGCGTATGCAACGCGCAAGGCTGTGCATTTATACTTCTGCTGCTGTCTCTGTTGGTCTGCATTAACACTTCCGAAACGCTAGTTGGCAGTGAGGTGTAAATGTTCCTCTGTGTCGAGTTTCTTCGCTGCTGTTTTGCTTTTCCTGAACACTTCCGGGATGTACAAGTGGCTCAAACTCGCTCATTTTGAGGCAGGAACCGGCGGATGTGCAACAAATTTAACTCTGAGGTAAACACAGAACAAATTTTCCATCCGGAGCTCCTTCACGGGACTCCACACTTGTAAACAATCGCTCTATTGGGCTTGCGTTCAGCTCGCGCCGTTCGCACGGCTCTCGGTTCCGCCCAGACTCGTCAGCGCTCCCAAGCCGACCAATCACAGAGCTTGCGCTATGCGTCGTTGCGACGTGTAGTTACAATTTTTGAGAGGTGCACATCAGTGAAGCCGACGGCCACGGCAAAGGGCTATGCGTCAGCGCCGTAGCATACGCCGGCGTTTGACGCAGAAGTATAAATCAGCCTTAACGGTTTCCACTGTTCTGACGTCAGCTGCTGATGTGAATGAATGGTGGAAGAAAGTAGTTCCTCATGCAGAAGAGACTCTCCGTGTGTGATTTTCTTTTTTTATATACACGATTACGCTGTCGAACTGTTGTATAAACGCAGTATCACACGAGTAGCAGTGCCATGTGGCTGTATATCAGCACTGGTAGGAGACTAAGAGCAACGCACACCTCCCACCAGTGCTGATATACAGCCACATAGGTTGAAAGCAATATCAAATTAAAATTAAACAGTTTTACTGCTACACAAATAGATTTACTAATATCTTTCAGCAATATATTACAGATTTAATTTATTTGTCTGTGTAGTTTTTATTTAATATTTCATTTTAATTCACTGTTACTATTCTGAAAATAGGAAAGTTTAAAGATTAGAAAGTTACAGCTTTTTTTGCGTGTTTGTGTGTGTGTGTGTGTGTGTGTGAGCATTTGTGTCTGCTTGTGTGTATTAATGTGTGTGTATTGAGAGAGAGTGAGAGAGTATGCATGTAAGCGAATCTATGTGTGTGTGTCTGTATATCTGTCTCAGGTTGTGTGTGTGTGTATGTGTATCTGTGCATGCATTTGTGTGAGTGTATATCTGTGTGTGTATATGTAGGTACATCTGCGCATGTGTTCATGTGTATCTGTGTGTGTGTGTGTGTGCGCAAGTGTAATTTGTTTGATGTGTACAAGAGAGAATATATATGTGTGCATGTGTGAGAGTATATGCTGTAAGTGTGTTCGTCTCTGTGTGTGTGTTTCTCTGTATGTGTATCTGTGCATATATGTGTTTCTTTCTGCATGTGTGTGTATGTAAGTGAGAGCATATGTGTCTGTCTGTCTGTGTTCATGTGTATCTCTGTGCACATGTGTGTATCTGTGTGTGAGTGGTGTGTGAGACTATTTGTATGAGAGAGAGTACATGTGTGTGTGTGTAAGTGAGTGTGTATATAAGTATATGTGTGTGTGTGTAAGTGAGTGCATTTGTGTGTGCATCTGTGTATGTGTTCATGTGTATCTGTTTGTGAGTTCAAGTGTGTGCATATATGAGTGTGTGTGTGGTGTGTGAGATTATGTGTATGAGAGAGAGTTTATATGTGTGTGTGTGTGTGCATGTGAGAGTGCATAAAAGTGTGTGTGTGAGTGTGACTATAAGTGTATGTGTAAGAATGTGTGTAAAAAAAAAAAAAAAAAAAAAACAGAGTGTGTGTGTGAGGTCCCCAACCCTGATAAATCAAACACTGACAGGAAAATAAAGAGTAATGTAAAGGATCTCTCCTGTCTCATTAACAGCTCATTATCTGCTCATGCATATGCAAATGAGATCACGTGTAGAATCTGACAGTAATTATAATTAGGCCCATTTATTCACTAAGGTCACAACTTCAGGGAGCGTCACGTCCATTAGAGCTGATTTACATGTCATTTGCATAAACACCTGTGTGTGTGTGTGTGTGTGTTCCAGGTGTGTGTGATATCCATGGTCTACAGTATTACGCTAACTGCTGTTTTAGCCATGCAGATATGTAAATTCTTTCTATTGTAATGCAGTCAGAATAAGCCAAGAGTGAGTGTGTGTGTGTGTGTGTGTTTACAAGATCTGACGCAGTTGTGTAATATCACACATGTAAGAGTGCCGCTTTCCTGAATGTTTGCGCATGATTCAGATTTTACACAACAGTTTAGCATACAGGAAGTTGGTTTTAGCTGAATTTGGCACACAATATTGTCTATTTTCTTGTTTTGCAAGTAAGAATAAGACAAAGAAAGCTGAGCTGAATGTGTGTGTGTACCTGTACTGCAGGGCGAGTCTGAGTGCAGTGGAGTTGGACTCATATTTGCCCAGCAGCATGCTCATCCGCTCAGCGTTACTCTTACACTCCTCCAGTGTGATGGTCAGCAGGTCATTCTGAGACTTCAGGTGCTCGATACGACTGCAACACACACACACACACACACACACACACACACACACACACACACACACACACACACACACACACACACACACACACACACACACACACACACACACACACATAAACAACCAGAAACAACACACCACACATCAAAAAAAAAGTTTAAAAAGGACTTTCAAATCTTTAAAAAATACAAAAACTGCTTTTATTCTGGCCGAAATAAAACAAATAAGACTTTCTCCAGAAGAAAAGATATTATCAGACATACTGTGAACATTTCCAGAATGTGATAAACAATTGGCAGTTGGACAGGTGTACCTAATAAAGTGGCCGGTGAGTGTATACGTATATAAATTACTTTATTATTCTATTTATATTTACATTGTTATTTCTAGTTAGCTTTATTTGATGGTATTTCTTGTTCCCATAATTCCTCTGACCTGTTGAGTCTCTCCGTCTCCACCTCAAACTCTCGGATCTTGCTCTCGGAGATGGCGGATCCGTGAGAGTAAAGGGTCTGGAAAATCTCCTGGATATTAGAGCAATCCTGCAGAGAATGTGCCAGATGTTCTGCCACATTACTGGACACCTGTAGGAACACACACGCATGCAAGCATGCACGCACGTGATTTATATTTGATTATTATATAATTTTTCTGTAGGCCTGCTAGTATACAAAATCAAGTAATGACATAATATGAACTTTAAAGTTCAAACAGGCTACAAAAATCAGCAAAACAAAAACAACATTTGTAATACTTCCTAAATTAGTGCTTTATAATCAACACTTTAAACAGGGGTTCACCTTAGAACTTTAGCTGACTATAAACCCCTAATAATAGGAGGATATCTTTAAAAGCCATACTGCTGATAGCCAAAAACTGTGATCTTCTGAGTTACAGAATGCGGCTAGCAGCATCCTTGTGTTATTTTTAATTTTTGCCTCAGTTATAGTGTGATGAAAGCCAGCGCTGATATTTCATTGCTCCATATTATTACTGTCGTTTTCATAAAAAGGGCAAAGTAAACATTCATAAAATAGAAGTTTGCTTTCTGACTAGTTCAGTTGACTTACTGTAAAGCATAACTGAGTGTATTTCCTTGAGATAGATACTCTGCAATGATGGAGATTTTGATAACTGTTCGTGTATTTAAATTTGTTTTCACCCATCTGGGTTATATTGTGTGATGGAGGGATTGTACAGCTGTAACCGTGATGTGGCCCAGCATGATTCCGCCTGTCCCAGCTTCTGCTACTGCATGTACAAGTGTCTCAATGGTGAAGACTGCTTGAATTTTATGTTTTGTTCTACGATGAGTTTGATTAGCCTACATCTGACTTGACGGTTCTCACGGTAGTGCCGAAATAAGGGACTGTCCTGGGAAAATCACCTGATCACCCTTATGGGCTGTTCAATATTCTGACTGGGCTACAGCCAATCCGAGCCTCAGTTTAGCACCAGCATCACTGTTTTTAAACAGCAGCGAACTGAAAGGAATACTTCACATTATTAATGAGAGAAAGCCTAATGCAAAAAGGCGTTTCCCACGTCATAGTGCAAATTAATTCTGCAGGAAATCAAGTCCAGCCCTGAGTACAGTAGTGTTTATTTCTCTTTACCCCGATGCTGCTGATCTCAGAGCCTAGGATGGATCTCTCTGTCGGTAGAGACTCTGAGCGGGTTTTGGACAGTTTCACTCGCTCCGCAACCTACAACACACACAGAATTCTGTAATTAATTAAAGAAAATATGATTAAAATTAATGACATTAATTAAGCTTTCACTATGATGTTCCTCATAAAGACACTTGACATAAGTCAAACAAACAAAAGAAAGCAAAATAAATAAAACCTATTAGTGGTATGCTCATTTTAACACACATAAATCAATAAATTAATAAATTAATAAATAAATAGATGAATAAAAACAAGTTAATATCTCTTATGAATAGTATGTTCTTCTATCAAAACTTCAAAAAGTACAAAATTATCTGAAAATAAATTGAAAAACGTTGAATAAAAAGTCATTATTATAACTATTTTAGTTTTGAAATTAAAATAAAAAAATGCAATTAAAATAATATAGATTAAATAAATTAAACATAAAAACAAGAAATAAAATTATAAATAAATTAAAATTATAATAAATTGAATAAAATGTGCTGTCAGTACTAAGCCTTTGATCAAGACACTCAACCTATTGAATAAATGGGTAAATAATATAAAATGTAATTAAATAAAATAATTTAAAATTAATAAATAAAATACATTAAATAAATAAAATTAAATAAAATGTAATAAAATAAAATAAATTAAAATAAAATTTAATAAAATAAAACAAATTAAAATAAATAAAATAAAGTTTAATAAAATAAATAAAATTTAATTTAATAAAATAAATATAAAATATAAAAAAATAAAATAAAAAAGGCAAAGTAAAGTAAAATAAAGTAAGATGACATGAAACAAAAATCAATGCTACAGTGTATGTGTGTGTGATCAGTGTGTGTGATCATGTGTGTGTATGTGTGTGTGATCAGTTAGTGTGTACTTTGGCGATGGGGATGTCGTTGCTGCTGCTGCTGGTGCTGAGTTCTCCAGTGCTGGGGTTTATGGGGCGTCCAGCAGGAGTCAGACGACCTGGACTGGGCGGAGCGCCGGGTTGAACACTTTGGAGACGAGTCTGCATCTCTCGCACCTACACACACACACACAAGGCAATAAGACAGTGTGCACTCATAGATCAGAGGAGCAGATGCTTACATTGATGTGGCTTCAGTTCAGCTCTATTACAGACAGCAGAACATCACACACACTCATTCAAATACACCACACACACACACAAACACATGCTTGCTCATACGCACAGACACGCACGCACGCGCACTCACCTTTCTCTCTCTCTCACACACACACATTTACACACACACAAACAGTTCTCTTTCTCTTTCTCTCACGCACACGCACGCACACACACACACACACACACACACACACACACACACACACACACACACACACACACACACACACACACACACACACACACACACACACACACACACACACACACACACACACACAATAAGATATATATAAACAAATACTTAACCTAAATATGAAGATCTTTTATTATTCTAAAATAATACGCTAATAATATAATACACTATGCTCTTCGTTAGGACCCTGTCCCTGAATAAAATGAGCCTTATTTACTATTATACACTATTAGATTATGTAGACCAGGGGTCTCAAACTCGTGGCCCGCGGGCCATTTGCGGCCCTCAGTGCAATATTTTCTCAGAGCGCTCCCCGCTCCGCTGATTCTATCCGTACACAGCGGTCACTGGCATTCCCCGCCCGCCGTGTAAACAAAGGGGCGGGGATGCCGGTGACGTCACCACGCACCCCGCCCCTTTGTTAGACGCTGTGACGGGCGGGAAGTGTTAGGAGGGAACTCGCGCCGGCCAGAACCAAGGTAAGCTGTTCCCGCCCCTGCCTGCCACTTAGCTACCTATCTGCAGCCTGCCACCTACCTAGCTACAGCCTGCATCTCATATATATTATAGGTAGATACAGACTGGTACAGACTGATGTGACTGGAGTGGGGTGGGGGTGTTTTATTTATACATATATACGCCTTTTTTTAGGTGAGGTGAGGGAATGGAAGTTTTGAGTGAGTTCCCCCATGCCATACTGAGGGTCTCAACTGCTTCCGCTCTAAAGCCAAATGTGGTTCAGATTTGTGAGAAGAAGCGCTGTCAAGTCTCTGGCAGCAAGAAGTAGGCAAAAGATGCCATGTTCAGAAGAACTGTTCATAATCTTCACTCAATGTTCTCTTAATGTTCAGGACACTTCATGTTCAGAAGAAATAATTAAAACTGTTAATAATGACATTTGAGGACTTTTTTTTGTGAAATCCCTTATGCAGCCCAGCCTCACCCAGACTTTGCCTCCTGCGGCCCCCAGGTAAATTGAGTTTGAGACCCCTGGTTTAGACACTAGAATTACTAAACTCTTGCTGAAGACACTAAACAAATACATATGTCAAATAAAAAAAAGACTACTATCTTAATCAAGACACAGAACATGCAACAAACAATATTAAATAATATTCATTCATTCATTTTCTTGTCAATTTAGTCCCTTTATTAATCAGGGGTTGCCACAGCGGAATGAACCACCAACTCATCCAGCATATGTTTCACGCAGCAGATACCCTTACAGCTGCAACCCAGCACTGGAAAATTAAATAATAATAATAATTATATTTTGTTTTGTTCAAGTCTACTAGTCAGTTTATATGCTCTTTATAAAGACGTTTAACCTCAATAAAGAAATAAATATTGCCATTATCTGTCCAACTACTGAGTTTCAAGGACATTTTTTTGTTATTTTAGTAAACATTAGAAAAACAGCAGGCTTCTGTTGGGTCACCTGTGTGTGTGTGAGCGAGCATGTGTGCAAGCGTGTGTATAAATGTGTGTGTGTCTACAGTTGGCAGTGATTGTGAATTATTTTTCAAGGCAAATAAAGCTTCTCCTGCCAGTGGAAAAGCTGCCAAAGGACAAATAAAGGACTGAATGTGAATCTGGAGCACCTCACACACTTCTACAGCTCACAGTATTATTATTATTTCACTGATACACACACACACACACACACAGAGCTCACTCTTTCCTCATGATTATACAATACTGCAGAAAATCTGTAGATCTGATCATGCTCGCATTAGTTAATCATAAACAAACATGTGTGTGTAATCAACATTTATATATATAATGTAATGAAACTAAACTAATGATGATAAATCTATCAACAGGCCCAGATAAGAACCCAGGGGCCTCTGGGCACATTGTCTTGTAGGGCCCCCTACCTGGCCGCACCCTTATAGTTGAATTAAAAATTAAGAGTAATAAAATAATTTTTAAATAAAATGAATCTATAATTTGTTGCCCACACATTTAAATAAATGATATATATTACATATGTATTTATAGTCTACAAAGATTTAACTTATTCTTTAAAGCGTTGAATAAAAATGCTAATAAAACTAGTGAAAATTCATGTTTTTTAGAATACTTGTTCAAGTTCACCTAAACAGTACTTTATATAATGTACTAATATATACATATATATATACATATATATATATATATATATATATATATATATATATATATATATATATATATATATATATATATATATATATATATATATATATATATATATATATATATATATATATATATATATATATATATATATATATATATATATATATATATATATATATATATATATATATATATATATATATATATATATATATATATATATATATATATATATATATATATATATATATATATATATATATATATATATATATATATATATATATATATATATATATATATATATATATATATATATATATATATATATATATATATATATATATATATATATATATATATATATATATATATATATATATATATATATATATATATATATATATATATATATATATATATATATATATACATATATACATATATATATATATATCATAAAGTATATCTGTTGTAAATGCAAATTAGTTATATTAAAATATCACTAAATTAAATGTTATATTAAAATGTCACTATTAAAATTCCTTTCTATTAAAAATAAATGTATTTCCAATCTGATATGTAATGAGGAATGAGTTCTTCAGACGCTGGATTCGAACCGGTTGATGATCGACCGCGTCAAAACACATTGTCATGCTCTTTATGAGCTATACCACTCAAGCTGCTGCAAGTCATGCTCTTTATTTATGTTGTCTCTGTCAATCAGTGATGGGCAGAAATCGCTCAAATAGTTGATTCCAACAAGGTGCACTATTTGCATTTAATAGACACTCCAAAAATCGGCATCCCGTCTGGCACCAACAACCATGCCATACGGGATGGTTACGAGATATTGGCGTTATGAGCAGTTGGACAGGTGTACCTATTAAAGTGGCCGGTTAGTATATATTTGTAGATGGAGAGACGGACGGACGGATGGACAGACAGAATGATAGATGGATGGATGGATGGATAGATAAATAGATAGATAGATAGATAGATAGACAGAATGATGGTTGGATGGATGGATGGATGGATAAATAGATAGACAGACAGTGATAGACAGATAGATAGATAGATAGATAGATAGATAGACGGACGGACAGACAGACAAACAGACCGACAGATAGACAGACA